CCCGTTGTGGACCGTTTTCTCTTCCGGTTGCCTGGGCTCCAGACAATTCTGCGCCTGACTTGCGCAATCGAGGGCTCGGTTGACGAGTGCGTCGCCCTGCTCAATCCCCGGTTGGCTAAAGCCAACTCCAGCCGACATCGAGGTTCGTTTTTAATTTGGTGTTCAGTGTCGATGTTATCGCACCGGTCATTGTTATTACTTTGACTTCCGTTGTCAGGTCAGTTCACGTGTGGCGATCTGTTGTTAAATCTGCAGAACGAAACGTTAGGATGGCAACTCCGTTTCATTTGACAAATATTAACCTTTTACTGACGATTTTTGGCCTGTCCACAAGTAAAGTCGCGTTAAGTGTTCTGAAAGTTCTAAAACGACTCACGAAGGGATTGTGGGGATCTTGTTACAAATGACTTGTATACCAGTAGCCATGGCAACTTGGCAAGTGGGTGAGCGAGGCGCAGTAGGCAAGGTTTGTGGGTGGCTCTTGTGCACGTCCCATCGCTGCCTTATTTTTTGCCATTTCCTCGTTTACTCATCCTGTCGTAGAAAATTTCTAGAACAAACATTGCTTAAGTATCTGTGGATTTTAACAGGCGTGTCGCTAACTCTAAGAGTTTATTGTGGTTTCATTCTCTCAGCCTTATATCGCAATATTTGTAATTGCTGCACGAACCGGGGCTTGAACACGGGCCACTCGCTAACCTCGTCTTCTGCAACGCACTTGCCCGCTGGCATTAAGGCAGCGCGTTGAACTTGCTCAGGAGCCACGGTTTACACGGAGAAATCCTGTCAGCCTGGTACCCAAGACTCGTCAAAATCCATCTGTAATCCCAGCGGTCGTGATGGAGTGAATTTGTTGAAGGCCCCGACGTTTATATCGAGACCACACGCGGATACCAGAAAAGATTAATACCACAGCAGTTTACTAGATGCCTAAGCCTAGCTGTGTTGTCGCGCGCGTGTTCGAAGTCGTGACTTACCAGTGAAGCTGTTGATCAACACAGTTTGGGTGAACGACTGAATGGCCAGATGAACGAAACTACTAAAGGAGAGAGGGGGGGTTTAGGTGTGGTGGACTATCAGTGATCGCGCCTCAGTGAACCTGTTTACTGACCTGAGATTGTCCCAATTAGATTGGTTACTGTTACCAGATACCCGTAAGCCACTCACTCATCCGCACACAAAGGACGCACTTGGCCGTTGTGGTGCTAATAAACGTCCGTCCCCACTGTCGCCTGTCTTGCCTCTCTTCTCGGGTTGTCACGGGTCGTTAACTAGCAAGATTGGAAGGTATTCCTAAGCAAGCTATTTCAGGGGTACGTGAACGGGGGTGTGTGGACGAACGGTTCCTTGTGACTGAGGGCCAGGCCCTGAAAAGGGAGGCGGTGCGTATCAGAGAATGCAACGATAGTGTTAATGAAGAACCTGTGTCCACACGATTTACTACAACTTCAGTGCTAACGAGGGTCGGCTGCGTATATCGTATGTGCGAAAACACCCTGTATAGACGGACAGGAAATCTGACCACTTTCGTTTAACAGTCCACTTCTAAACTGTCAAATTTCCCATGAATTTCGACTACAATGTTTAGAATATCAGATACATTTAAGGGAACAAATGACAAATTACCCTAGTGCGTAACTATGTGTTGATCTTGAATCGTGTGTCAAAAATGGTAAAGAGCAGCTGCATCAATGGTAACAAGTGCACTTTGGTATCTGAGACTGTAGATTTTTGTTGCAAAACATCTTGAGAGCTCACTTATACGAAACTCCATTAACTCCCACAAAATGCCATCTGTTAAGGGCAATTAAAGTGCAAATCCAAGGCTAAGTGCGCGTTGTTGTTGTCAAGACTATATTGTCGCCGCAGAAAACCGGCTTGAACGTGTTTTGTCATTCGTGCATGGAGGTGCTTTGTGGTATAACTCTAATCAATGCCATGGAATATGGCTGAGTTAGTGAGCTGCCCAGAGGTTCTGCCACATGTATCAATGCCTTTTTTTGTTTGAATGAATTTGGATGGGATGTCCAAATGTTAATCTGATCCCTGAGTAGCATTGCTGGCGGTGCTCGTTAGAGCCTCAGTCCTCTTCAGGACATGATGGCTCCCTTTGTCGGCTCGTCATTGTCAGGGATCTTGAACTGCCCTTGGTATTCGTCAATATGATCAAGGAGCAATCTAATCTTTGATATGCTACAATCGACGTGTCTACATTGAGATGGCTTGTGAACGTCTTTGGAACCACGCGGTGGGTAGATGACGATTCACTGCTTTATCAACCCTGCACGTTTGTATGCCCGGCTTCCAATGTACAATCTTTTGCCTTGAATGCAAGCACTAAAGCTCCCCCTCTCTCCCTCGCTCTCTGATGCCCTGTCAGACGAAGCCGTCGTCGGTCGCGATGCTGCAGCGACCAATGGGGATCCGAGGGTCGAGGGTTCGAGTGGTGGCGGAGAGGTGCTGCTTCTTTCCCCCGGTGGGGTTCGCGAAGCCCTCTTCTCCGACGAGTACTACTCGGTGTTGTGGGGCAAACGTCGTGGCTTCGCGCGCATCGCCATCAACGCTAAAAAGGTAAACTACATGGCGGTTCCAGTGTGACTGTGTGAGGTGTGGCGAATGCGGGCTCGGCATTTTGACGCCGTGTTTGCTAACCTTAAGGCATTCCCCTGATTTCTTGTTGCGCACACCGGTCTCACTAAAGTTCGTTGTGACCACGTTGCTCTAGACTAAGTTGACGTTTTTCAACACACAATGCTTCACGAGTAAGCCACACTGTGATGTAACTAGCAGCATCAGTGTTAAGCTAACGCTGATACTTCAACAAATGAACTGCCATAGACTGCTTACAGTGTATCACATCACGCGAACCGGTAAAGTTGTTTTTTTTTATCGAATTTATTCTATCTGGGTCTAGTCATTTTACGTCACTATTATACATAGGGTGTATTTGAGGTGAAACATTGCTTCTTGCCTGTTCTTACATGATTCATTTTGATATTGGCTACGTCTTCTTCCGTCCGGTCTCTCCTGTAGCCAATTTACCCCGTATTCACGGAAAATATTCGAGAGGGCATTCGTGTGGTCCAGTACGGCAAAAGTAAGCTTCCTTCCGTCCCTGCTTGCATTGATTCCCGTTAATTTGGTGTTTGCATGCTTGCCTCCTTTCCATTGCAGGCTGGTGGCGTCGGATCTACGAAGTTACTCGACTGCCAATCGCCATATTCTACGGATACTTCCCGGTAAAACTACGGTTAGTTGCCATTTCCCGGTGTCGCATTTTCGTGGGCAGCAGTTGTGTAGGTAGTAGTATGATATACGGGTAATTTCCTTATTCCTTTTTAGGACCTACATTGGCGATCCCGTTTACCCCCGTGAAGGCGAAACAGACGAACAACTAGCCGATAGGGTAAGTTGACTCGTCTTATTTGAAATGCCCCCCACCTAAATGTGTTTGTTGGCGCAAACTGCGTGTTAGGCACTCTCAAGCGATTGGTAACGATCGTGGTAGTGCGGTTGTTTGCATGTTTATGGTATTTGATACAGAAGAGAAGTATCGTATCGGATGGAATCCATGACTAAGCTTTCTGAAAAAGATAGGTCGTCAAGTGTAAGGGCTCTTTTATTGATGCGATCAGTCTCTGATTTGAGAATGGATGTTCGTTCCATCCTGGGAAAAGCGTGGGTTGCCATGGCTTTTAACAAGGCATGTCTGGTACTAGATTACGCATTGTAGTCCAGTGCTTTAAGTGTGCTCTCCTCTTGTAGGCCCGTGAAGCAATCGAAGGCATGATTTCGCGGTACCAGTGGCGTCCCGGCAACATAATTGTTGCTCTTCTTCAGCGGTTCCCCTGGTTTGATGCTTGGGTTCAGTCCCGCAATGCACAAAATTACCATTCTAGGCGGCGGAGAGACTCGTAAAATACTTGGATACTCGACAACAACCTTTTTTTAACGTCTGAAGGAGATTTCTGTTTATTTTGCCCTTTCAATACCATTTTTTTTCTTAGATTCGGTTTGACGTTTCACCTTAGAGGTAAAATGTCAGCAGAGCGACTCGTACCAGCGTTCCCATGGGCACGACCCCAACCACAGAGCGCGTCTGTTGCCGTGTTATATTACCAAGCGTTGGCACGTAAAATCCCACCCACGAGCGCACACACAACTCTGACGTAATTACACTTGATTGCATTCGTGGAGTGCCACTGGGTGTCAGTAATGTTCTATCGCTCCACTGGTGGTGGGTGATGCTTAGACTGCTACACCTTCTGTAGAGATGGAAGAAATGTGCTAACTAGGTGCCCGACCTGTAATTAAACTCTGCATCATGTGCCTGCCTCCTCTTGCCCATTATTTGTGTACAGTCTGGTGGTTGCGCAAAATCTTACTAGTGTACTTACAAGTGTGAACAAAACGGCTCAAGTAGCGCACCACAACTAAGCTTCGTTTGGTATGAACGTGGGTGATTGACAGGAAATTCACCACTTTCCATAAATTAGGGCTGCGTGTATGGCACAGAATCGATGGCCTTGGCGATACAAAAGGCCTTTATTTTTGGCTTGTATAAAAAGGAGTACAAAGGAAAAAAATACTGGTGATTTATACCGGCGGGAGTCGGCGTATTTTCTCAAACTATATTCTTTAACGACACTGGAAGTTCCGGGGTTGAATCGACTAGCGTCTGCTTTTCTACGTCGCGTTCGTCAAGTGTCTTCGTGATTAATTCATCGCGCGTTTTCTGGCTGTCCTCATTCCTCACCTGAAATACCAGAAATGGCAAATAAAAAACATCTTGTTGTGAGAACTTTAACTAAAGGGAGGTATTTTAGCCGTTTCTCCAAAAAAGGATTTTGAAAATTGTTGTCAAGTGTGTCATTTTCGGAAACACTTAAAGAGGTGATGGCAAGAAGTTGTTTAAGGCATAATTTTGCTCAACATAAATTTCCATTGAAATATTTTTAGTAAAAAGTTCTTGTTGTTGAAACTGCTGTTTTGGGCCCCAGCATGTGGTCCTAGGACCACGCCGGGGCCCCGGAATTAACTCTGGCCCGATTACGCTTGCCTGATGCCCGCGATGAAGGAAAGATTGGAGAGGCCGGACACAAGCGTTTACTTCAGAGCCCAGCCGAAACTGATGCCGTTGTGTTGTGTGTGGGGTTTGCGCGTGTGTATTTATGCCTCGGATGCGTGAGTCATAGATGCGCTAACATCGAGATCTAGGTGTGAGGTTAATCCAAGATACATATACATATGAATGAAGAGTGGAGTTGAGGATTTGCGCGGCTTGCGCCATGCTGCGAAAAAGGGGAGCCCTGTGTCGGATGCGAAGCCGTCGGATTAAGAGGTTGAATAAACACGATTCACAACACTACCTTACGCAAGGGGTGGTCGCCCACGTTGGCCATTTTCGGTAGTGGGGGCGGCTAACTCGGTGTATGTGAACGTTTGCAGTGACTCGGTAAAAAAACATCGCTAATTGACAGAGGCAAAATAAAACGTAAACAATTTAATGGCAAAAATGTGGGCCTGACGCAGGTTAAAGCTCAAGCAATGTAAGTGAGGACATTCACACATGTGACCACGCTTTTTTTTGGCGATCGTAAATGGCTTAGCGTAAAAAGGCCGGAAATCATGCAAATGTATCAGCTGTATCAGAAAGAAAACAGTTTAATTAAATCAACTCGAAGTCACAGAGGCTAACTCAATTAACGCATAGAGCTTTCAATTATTATTCAGGATATTTGTGAAGAACAAGACAGCATTCGATCATATTGGGACGTGGAAATGACGGCTAAACCTCTAGTCTATGCGTTTTCCCCCCTACGTCAAATGGATCTCTATAGCAACGGAAGTCGATCGCATCCTTGATTTACAGTGTCATTGTGAAACAAAAATGGTCATAGCAGGAGGGAATTATTGACAATAAACTACTCGTAAACAATTAAGGGTGGCAGCCTGGTAATGACCGCACCAGGTCTAGTTCAAAATAAAAGTCATTCGTGGTGGTTTTTAAGTTTAGAACTCAGATTGGTTTCAAATAATATAAAGGCTCAGCTGAAGTCACAACGCTTATTTGTTCCAATTTACGTGACTGAATTGAGACTAATCAACAAGCGTTTTGCGATAAACGTGATCATCTAACGAAGGTATAGATTAACAAAAAAACACTGCTTATCTACAAAGTGTGCGTCTTTAATAAGCTCGTGGGAAAGAATTCCGAAGATGAAGCAAATCTTCATAAAGCCTTGGATTAAGATGCAACCCAATACCCCCATGAAATGCATTACTTCGGACCACGACATGGATAAGCTTAGTAAAGAACTCAAGCTTTGTTCAATAGAAATGGGAAGAAGGAGGCACTAATTTTGAACAGGTTGAATTATAATGGCAGGCTGCTCATATATACACCATATGCATTGTAAAATTTAAAAAAATATTAGTCTGACGTCACATAAGGCAATAATATGTATGCCTATTCATAAGTAGATATAATTTACAGAGGGCTAAAAGTTTCCCATTAAAAAAAGACCGCTTTAATAAATACAGATAAGTTTAAGGCACTACTATTGACGTTAGCCACAAGCTAAACATAGAATTGAGCTTGGTACGAGGCCACTCAATTTCAAACTACTCAAATTCGTGGTTATGGCCAATGGGTTACACAAATTACCTGATTGTACAAAAGAAGGCCTGCTGTCGCTAGTCCAAGACCAAAGTAAGTCTTTGGAGTGGCTGGAGTGGAAAAGAAAATAATCGCAGTCACAATGACGAGAAGGCGCTTTATAACACCAGCCACAGAATAGCCTAGAACCGAGAGACGACCCAGCATAATAAGAGCAACAAGGTTTTGACAGCACCGAGCAAAGCCATCGATGACTAGAAGATAACTCGCCTGTTTCAGTTGTGAGATCTTATAAATGGAAAAATAAACATAAGAATAACTGCGGGTAAAGTGGCTCTTAAGGTCTCTGACCAAGCAGCAGCAACAATGTACATCAATAATATTTGGATCGCTTTTATATTTCTCTATAGACAAAAGTACTAAGCAAAAATGTAAATTTAAAGAGACTAGAATATTCGTAAAAAATCCCTTTTGATTATAGTATTGCGTAAACCGAAGTTACACAGATCTAAACATTACATGCTGTTTCAGATTGTTTCAAATTAAGCTGCAGAAAATATTTTAAAGCAGCAAAACTGACATTTAAAATATTTGCATTGAATCAAAATACGTACCATTACAGCTTTATCAACAACTAACATGGATGGTAAATCATAAAAAATCCAAAGAGGTAAGATCCAGAGCAGACTAATTCCAGAGACAATAAAGATGATATTGCTTTCTTGCAATTTTGAAGATTCCATGACCTACATAAAAATCGCATGTTGAAGTTTACAACACACACATGTGTGGCAGTAAAATAGTGCGACCCACCATTTTCATATAAACATTGAAGCCAGCGCTCCCCATTGTCGAAAATAGGGCAATACACAATCCTGGGAGACTAAAAGACGCCTCCGACTTTGATGTAATCCCAACACCAGTCAAAAGTATTGAAAGAGATACATAGGTCTAAATGAAATGTGTTGATATTGTGTCAACTTTATATGAGGAATGTGGAATTAAGGCAGTAGGCATGCATATAAGGCAACGGCAGCGCATGCATTAAATTGCTGATAAACACTTTGGTAAAAAAATAAGCATGTCCGCTTATATTTCAGTTTAAAAATGCGCATAAGAAACGAAATTTACCATCGAGGAATACGTTTTGCCAAGGCAGCGAGAGATAACAACAACAAAAAAAGGAAGCAATGTTTTGACTAAACGCAAATAATTATGACAGATAGAAATACCTGTGTGAATATATGAAGCAGGCAGAAGTAGCATTCCAAAATGAAAAAGTCCTATTGCAAGCGAATTGAGAAATCCCAGGAAAACGCATGCTTTCAGATCAGATTTAATGTGTCCATAAATATAACATGCAGAAAATGGTCCGAAAAAATGTGTGAGAAGGCCTGTGTAAATACATGTATGCAATAGCTGGTTTGTGGTTGCGGTAAGAGGATAAGGAAATAATGTTAAAAGGGACTTGTTTGTGAGAGTGCTCACAGAACTGACACAATACCAAAAAATCCAAATAAAAAAGGTAATAAGAAAGTCATTGCTTTCAGACGAAGACTTGCAAAACGCTATCATTTGAATGAAAATGAGAAACTAGGAGAAAACCATCAAAAAGTTTCCTCAATGGTTGCTGTGACGATG